GTGAACCATTTCAACCTGCTGCCACAGTTTTACGCCTAGTTGATCTGACCAGGTCAGTATTATCAAACGCCCAAACACCGATGTCACTGCAAACCCATCAGCCTCCTTTGGCACAAATCTGTTTCGAAGCAGCCATGTATTTGAGCGAGGATCGTAGATTTCAGCTGAGTGCTTAGGAGTTACACCACCCACCACATAAAATTGGCCATTGTGAGCAAGACCTGTTGCAAATGCCCTTGCTTTGTGCATGGATGGCAATGCTTGCCATTCCCATGTATTGAGGTTCAACCGCTCTGCCGAGTTGCGATAAGTTGAAGGCTCAGCATCTGTTGGTCATAATGTTAAAAGCAATTTCAATAAGACTAAATTTCAATGACCACAAAAGGTGATCTAATTCTCAAGAGTAAAAATGTGCGATAAAAATATAACATGCTGCTTCGACATGTAAGAACAACAAACATTTAGCTACAAATATACAAAGTAATTGCAAGAGGCTGGGAGCAGGGAAGAACCTACTTCACCAGAGTGGGAGAATGTTACTTTAATTTGTTTTCTATTTGAAACATAATCTGTAAAACCAACAAGGTCACGTTTGTAGCATCTTAATTCAACTTTTAAAAAGTGCTTAAAGAACAAGTAATTTTGTTCAACAAGGTTGGAGGACAATGTCTATATGGCTCCCCTTATACTACCCAACATTTTGCTTTACAAGCATTAAACTTTCTTGTGTAAAGAAGAATTGGACTCATTAAATGTGAAATGTAAAAGTATTTTGTTAAACAAGGTTGTAGCCAGTAGTATCTCCTCTACCTTCCAAAGTAAAAGGTGAGGGTTGAAGTCCTCATAAGAAGAGTTTCTTGGCAATAAAAAAAAAAAAAATTTGGATTCATCAAATGTGAACTGTAATTATTAAATCTAGTTTGTAAAATATCAATTTAGTTGAATGAAATCTAAACCAATGGTTTGGATGCTCTCTTTTTTATCTGAAAATTAACAAGACATTTTGTCCATCCTTAGAATTTCATTGGAATTATAACAAAGCAATTTGTAGCACATTTCCTACACTATTAGGTCAGAATCCTAGCTAGTAATGCATAGTCCAGGTTGAAGAGTAGATATTTATATAATAAGAAGGTAACTTCAAATGAGATTCACTAATGCAACTGTTAGGATTGAGTTTGCCCAAAACCTTCAAGGACCTCGTGCAAGTGTTAGATCAAACCCAAAAAAAAAAAAATTCCAAGAGCAAATGATCCAAGAACCAGATAGAGCTAAATCTGGTGTTGGGATTTGAAAATTACATCATTCACGAATTTAACAATTCATAGAAATTAATAATTCATGAGATAATGCAATCTTTCTCACAACCCACTCAAGAATTCTGAATCTATTGTTACATTGTAACAGTCACTTCCATGATCAACACACAATGGTGCTACTCAACATTTCGTTTCTGCAGAATTGTTCCTCTGTATCAAGAGAGGAAGAAGTTTTTGGAAGAATGCACTCCCCTGAAACCACTTTTGTCACCTAAAAGATTACATCCTATAAAAATGAATAAACAAACATCACATTTCGAGTGCATGGATGGCCTCTCTCTCTAATTGAGGAGCAGGAGGACCCCTCTCTCTAATCATGGTTACAATCGATTCTAATCCCGCTACCATCTATCTCTGCCTTTTATTACAATATATAATGACTGACATCACCTCACTACATTGAAGCTCTAAATGTGATTCATTGGTAAATGATACAAGCAGCTAATTGAATAGTCAGAAATACATGATTCAAGGAGAGCAATTCCTTTGTACAAGATAATACTTGATTCAAAGAGAGCAATTCCTTTGTACTACTCACAATTAAGGACCTATTTGGTTCAATTCGAAAACATTTTTCAAGAATTCTGAAAGTAAACTATAAAAAAACATTTAAAAGAATTCTGTTTTTTCCATCTCTCAATTTTCATAAAACAATTTTGAAAACTGTAAATAAAACCAATCAATTCTCCAAACTGGTCATGAGACAAGTATGGGTTCTCTGAAAATAGTCTTCAGAAAAAACTCCAAAATCCAAAAACCTTCCTAGGACTAAAGGACTACAACATATAGCTATCACAAATTACACCTTTAAATCAGTTCAGTCTTCAGAGCAGTTTTTAAAATTTTGTCTACTAAACAACCTTTTGAACCCTATTTTCTATTTTCATATATTTGATGTTAGTAAAAACCCAATTGAATATATAAAATAGCTCATTTAGCAAACTTAAAACATAATCAACATAACATTGCACATATAGATGAACAGAATTCAACACTTACGATTGAGATTGCCTTCATACCCTCCAGCAAGATAGAGCCATCCATCAATAATGGCACCCGCGGCACTAATTAGGTTACGATTGAGATCATGCCATGAGTTGTCAACAAGTGAGTAAGTGCACAGGGCGGCGCGCGACGGCGGCGGAGCGGCGGCGAGTCTGGCACACAAGTATCGGTCCGGCAGGATCGCGATCAAGTGGGTCACCGTCGTCGGGCTCCGGGGGACCACAACGGCCCGCAATTGGGTCGGAGAAGCGTGATAGGCAAACCATTCCCAAGGAGTTGTTTCACACGGTTTCGGTTGTTTGTCACAGTGGGCATTGTGGGCTCTGTTTGGGACTTTGACAATGGAGACTTCTTCGAAAAGGCCGGTTTCGGATACAGGGAAGATTGAGTTAGAGAAAGTGATTGCGGGAGGATGATTGGGATTGGGTGTTCTACTGAGGTACCACATTATGGGTTTATGGGAGGTTTTGAAGAAACACAAGAAAGAAAAATGAGAGAGATGATTTTTATTTCATCAATTTTCGATAAGCTCCAAAATTAAGAGATCATAACAATCTAATTAGAAGAGTAATCCCCTCTCCTCTTAGCAGCAACCGCAACAGCTGTAAAATCTGTGGGGTGGCTTTCTTCTTTTCCATTGGTGGGCTTCTTCCTTCTCTGCTCTGGATACCTAAATTGGGTAAACCTTCTTTGTGAGAGTCTCTTCTTTCTAGGACTCGATCTTGCAGTCCGATCAAAGTTGAATCGCGAGCCTATACAATGTAATGAAGCAAATTGATCATCATCTTATATTTACATTTATCACACAATTGAAAATGAAATATGAATTTCAAATTGAATTCTCTAAAATACCCCTCCCTCCCCCCTCCATCTGTAATAAATAAATAAACTAAAATTAACAAAATAATATTCTTGTGTAAGAAATAATTATACAAGAGGGTGGTGGTGGTGCCTAGATACGTCATTCGTAGCAGTGTTGGTGACGTTGGTGGTGGTAAAAGTGGCGGTGGTTTTTAGACTGGAACTTAGAGGGTTTTTTTTGGAACTTCCAATTTTTTTTTCCTACTGGAAATTGAATAGCTATTCCATGTGTTGTGATGTGGAATGAAGTTTTATTATTTTTCATTCCAAGGGAATGATGTGGATGATCATTTCCACTATAATTTTTCTACTATACAAAAGAATGGGTAGAATAGGCTGCATTTTCCAAATTAGATATGCGGATAAATGTTTAAAATTTAAAAGTTGGAGAATTAATCAAATTAAAACTACTTATATGGAGTGTAAATTAAATAGAGATTTGGACGGTAATAATATAATGATGGGATTTAAAATTAAAAAATTAACATAAAGGAAAGTGGTTGTGTGAGTGTGTTTCTTGTAAATAATAATAATAATAATAATAATAAATAAAAGTGAGTAAGATAAAATAGAGTAAAATTCTATAGGGCGTGCAAGGAACTTAATTCACACCCAAGATGTGAATTTATAGTATGTTTCTAACTATTGTTCTAATTCATATAGCGGAAATAAGAATGTGCAGATGGATGAAAGGTGTGATTAGAAAGATAGGATCATTAATTAAAGAGAGAAAAATTAGGGACAGTACACATTGTGAGAAAGATTTGTTGGCTAACTTCTTTAGTTTAGAGGATGAAATATGAAATAAAGAATAATAATACCATTTAATGGCAAAATGAAAATAAATTGATAAAAACAGTTTGACCATTCATTCCAGGGATAATCATTGGTCAATCATCTCACTTGAGAAGTTTACAAGGCAGAAGATGAGTTTTGGTACACATTATTACAAGTGAAGAACTATGGGTATGCGGAAATATATATTTACCTAATTTTCATTGATGCACTACTCGATATTGAATATTGGTATTTCACTACTTGAGTACTGATTAGTATTATTAATTATCTATATCCCCTTCCATTAATGTGTCTGGGCTTCATAATTATGAATGCAATAGATGTGAAAAATATAAATAACATTTCTCTTGCAATATATGTTTTTAAAATTAATAAAAATTTCAATGGACTATTATAACCCACTTGATGTGGCAAATGGTTAAATTCTATCGAGTCAACCGGAATGAAATAAGTAAAAAAGAAATAAAGAAAGAAAGATGGGTTAGAGTTGATTGTTACCAACTTACCATTTGAAAAGAGGAAGAAAATACCGTACTTTAGAAATCCAAAAACCAAACTCAATGGTTAGAAATACTCAAACTCAGTCTCGTTTGTTTGTCGTAAAATATTTACTAAGAAAGAAAGATATTAAAATTTAACAAAAATAACTTATCTATCAATTTTGGATAAATTATTTTACATGCCCCGCTCGATGGATTCAATCTCAACCTTAACGTAAACCTTTGCCAAACACTGACAATTCAACATTGACGTAAACCGTTATCAAACACTGACAATGTAAAATATATATTTTACTTGAAAAAGAAAAATATTTTTCAAAAATAATATTTTACATCGAAACAAACGGAGCATCAATGCGCAACAGCTTTTCCATTGCGGAGTCTAAGGATTGTCAGTCTTACCTTCGTATGCAGAGTTATGCCGAGGCCTCCCTCAATAACCTTCCTATGTTTTTTAGAAGAATGTTTCAAATAAGAAAATATAAACCAAATCACTGCAAAACTTCATATACTCAAATCAGAATTACTATTTCAGTATTTCTTATGTACATAGTAAATGTTTCACCCTGTTAGTCCCCCAAAAAGAGTGAAAATTTTGGAAGAGACATAACATAGAATCTACATTTTGCTACAACAATTGTCATGTACTCCATTTCCCAACTTGGGGATTCTATCTATGTGTAACCATCAAAACGGTTCAATCACTCAACTTTACATATTCAAAAATTAAAAACTTCGGATCAAAGAATTGTGAATGCATATAACCTACTCAACCTGATGCAAATCAAAGCCGTGTTTCAACTAGGCAAATCTTGTTTCGCCATTCTCATTTATCTTTAATCATGTAAAAGGAAATCGGTGTGCCATTCTCATTTATCTCCAACCAAGTGTGCCATCATCCTGGATGGTGAAGGCATGGATATGGCCCCCATGCACCACTTCATGCTCGACGCCAGGACGAAAATTTGGTGCTGGAAATATTGGCCACTCTACTGGTGCATCCACTCTCCAAACACAAGTACCCAATCCTCCAACCAGAACCAACACCTCCTTCCCAAGTCGCACCATTGTTGCCCCATGACGCCTAAATTGCGACCTCTCAACTTCAGTGTTTGGAAAGAAACAGACCATTTTCCAGTTACCAATCTCCAAATCTTCATTATTCTCTCCAACCCTCAGCCACAGTTTTATGCCTAGTCGATCTGACCAGGTCAGTATTACCAAATTCCCAAGCATTGTTGTCACTGCAAACCCTTCAGCCTCCTCTCGCAAAAATGAGTTTAGAGGCAGCCATGTATTTGAGAGAGGATTGTAGATTTCAGCTGAGTCCTTGGGAGTTGCACCACCAAAAACGTAGAATTTGCCCCTGTGAGCAAGACCTGTTGCAAATGCCCTTGCTTTTTGCATGGATGGCAATGCTTGCCATTCCCGTGTTTTGAGGTTGAGCCGCTTTGCTGAGTTGAGATAAGCTGAAGGCTCAGCATCTGTGTTGGTCATAACATAATGTCAAAAGCAATTTCAATAGACTGAATTTCAATGACCACAAAAGTGATCAAAATTCTCAAGAGAACTGTGCAATAGAAATATAACATGCAGCTTCGACATATAATATTCAACAAACATTTAGTTACCAAGCGGGTCCTAAGAGGCTGGTATCAGGGTAGGAGCTACTTCGCCAGGGTGGGAGAATATTCTTTGATTTTTTTCTAAATTGAAACATAATCTGTAAAACCAACAAGCTCACGTCTACAGCATCTTCAAGTTTTGGAAAGCACTTAAAACAACAAAGTATTTTGTTAAACAAGGTTGGAGTACAATGTCTATCTGGCTCCCCTTAAATGACTATCCAACATTTGCTTTAGAAGCATTAAAATTTTGTTATGTAAATTGAGTGAGATCTAAACCAATTGTTTGCATGCACTATTTTTTATCTAAAAATTAACAAGACATCAATTTCTCCATCCTTCGAATTTCATTGGAATTATAGCAAAGCAATTTGTAGCACATTTCCCACACATTTAGTTCAGAATCCTAGCTAGTAATGCGTAGTCCAGGTTGAGGAGAAGATATTTATATAATAAGAAGGTAACTTCAAATGAGGTTCACTAATGTAACTGTTACTAAAATTGAGTGAGATTGCCCAAAACCTTCAAGGACCTTGTGCAAGTGTTAGATCAAACAAATGGAGAATGAAAAAGAAAAAGAATAAACAACAGCCAAGAGCAAATGAACCAAGACTTGAAAATTACATCATTCATGAATCTAACAATACATTGAAATTAATAATTCATGAGACAATGCAATCTTTCTCTCATAACCCAATCAAGATTGAAATATGAATCTGTTGTTACATCGTAACCTTCACTTCCATGATCAATAAGCAATGGTGCTGCTCAACATTTCATATCTCCAGAATTGTTCCTCCGTGTCAAGAGAGGAAGAAAATTATTGGAAGAATGCACTCCCTTAAAACCCCTTTTGTCACCTAAAAGATTACACCGTTCCAACTCTCTCTTGACAAAAAGCCTCTTTACTATCTACATGGATAAACATGCATCACATTTCAAGTGCATGGATGACCTCTCTCTCTCTCTCTCTCTCTCTCTAATTGAGGAGCAGTAGGACCTCTCTCTCTAATTATGGTTACAAGCGATTCTAATCCTGCTACCATGTCTGCCTTCTATTTCAATATAAAATGACTAACATCATTTCCTTACATTCAAGCTCTTTTCAGGGAAGCTAAAGCAAACGCACACACCCACGAGATGCCCTTAGCATGGTCAAACTCTCAACCTCCCCTTTGGAGGAGAGAGATCATACCAATCGAGCTGGTGGTCCGATGGTATTACATTGAGGCTCTAATTGTGATACTAATTGGAAACTAGTACAATCTCTAATTGACAAGCCAGAATACATGATTCAAGGAGATCAATTCCATTGTACAAGATAATAAGTTAAGGACCTATTTGGTTCAATTCAAATAAGTTTCCACGATTTCTGAAAGTAAACTACGAAAAACAGTTATAAGAAATCATATTTTTCTTCTTCTTTTAACTCAATTTTCAGTGTAGTCAGGGAAAAAAAAAAAAAAAAATCAATTTTCAGAATATACTTTTGCGAACTGTAAATCAAACCAATCTTTGAACTGTTTCCCATTATTCAATTCTCCAAGCAGGCCATAAGACGAAAAACTCCAAAAACCCAAAACCTTCATAGAATTAAAGAACTACAACACATAGTTATCCCAAATTAGACCTTTTCTCAGCCCAATTTTCAGAGGCAGTTCTTAAAACCCCTGTCAACTAAACAAGTTTTTAAACTATTTTTCTATTTTAAGATCTTTGACACCCATTTTCAGAAAACTAAACCAAGAAAGTCCTAGCAAGTCTGTCTCCATTTTTTAAACTCAATTTTCAGAACAAAATTTTGAAAACTGTAAATCAAACCAATCTTGAACTCTTTCCGATTTTTCAGTTCTCCAAGCTGGCCACAAGACCAGTTCATTTCTTTGAAAATGGTTTTCAAGAAAACTCAAAAACCCCCCAAAACTAAACAACTACAACACATAGTTATCAGAAATTAGACCTTTTCTCAACTCATGTTTTTTTAAAATCTATTTCCATGCCTTTGATAATAAAAACCCATTTGCAGAAAACTAAACCAAGAAAGTCCTAACAATAACATTGCACAATCAATGCCTAAAGATGAACAAAATTTAACACTTACGAGTTAGATTGCCTTCATACCCTCCAGCTACATAGAGACAATGATCCATAATTGCACCGGCGGAAGCAAATGGGTTCCGGCGCTCGCACTGCATCTTGGGAAAATCATGCCACGAGTTGTCCTCAAGTCTGTACTCGCATAGGGTGGCACGCGGCGCCGGCGGAGCGGCAACGACTCTTGACACACAAGAACCGGCCGCCCCGCGTGATGCCCAACAACTGGGTCGTCGTCGACGGGCTCCGAGGGACCACAACGGCCCTTAATTTGGTCGGAGAAGCGTGATATGAAAACCATTCCCAAGCAGTTGTTTGATTTGGGTTTGGGTGTTTGTCAGAGTCGTCGTCTCTGGTGTTTGGGACTTTGAAAATGGAGACTTCTTGGAAAAGTCCGGCGTCGGATACAGAGAGGATGGAGTTAGAGAAAGTGATTGGGAGAGGGTTGATAGGGGTTGTTGGAGTTGGTTGCTCTACTGAGGTACCACATTAATGGGCTTATGGGAGGTTCTGAAGAAAGGAAAGTAAGAGAGAGAACGATGATTGAGAGAGAGAGAGAGAGATGATTAATGTGATTGTAATTAATCTAATACTTCATATTATTTGGGAGTTCCGAAAGAAAAGAAGTGATTAAGATGAAGGTGGTAATGGATTTTCTTGTTTGGAAGTGAAAGTTGTAATGAAGACTATCTTAAATAATTACACATTCTCTTTTAACCCCTACAATAACGATAAATTACACATACCTCCCCTTACTCTTACTTTTCTTTTATATTGGATTATTAAAGGTACCTCCACTTTTGTTCATTAACGAGCAATGTTGATGTCACAAAGACAATTTTAATTTAAAGGAAATATTTGTCATACGAAACTAATTTCCACATTGAAAGAGTAAGGAATTGATGAACCCAATCCTTTTATTAAAACCGAAAAAGAAAAAAAAAAAAAATTAATTATGGAATTATTTTTAGTAAGCAAATAAAATGTTTGACGAAACTACCCTCATAGGGTCATTAAAAATTATCTATCTTTTCATAACTTTAAGATCATTTTAAGGCAATTTTATTTAATTTTGGTCACTAAAATATAAATTGTCCCCAAATGGCCCGTAAAAATTAATTTGTATCAGTATTGGTGACTATTTATCATTTTATAACTTTAAGGTCACTTTGAAGAAATTTTATATGATTTTGGTTACTAAAATCTAATTCCAACAACAACCCATTATAAAAAGAATAATGCTTATCTTTGTCCATATAAGAAGGAACTTCTTTTTACATGTAACATGATGCAATAAAAGAAATTACCAACAGAGAAATTACGAAGCCTTTCCCGGGGAATTCCTTGGATATCTGTGCATCATCAAAGTATAAAGGAATGTAAACAAATTGAATTGAAATCTCTCTCCATGGCATTTGTGTTTATCATAATCTTATGGCTCAATGAATGTATCTATAATCTTAAACCAATATCACAACAAAACAAAACTTCTTATTTTCAATCAGAATTACTCTTTATTATGCACCTAGAAAATGCTTCAGTGGTGCTTCACCCTCTGAGCCCCCCGGGGGGGGGGGGGGGGGGGGGGGGGGGGGGGGGAGAGGGGGGAATTTTGGAAAGTCGAAACAGAGGAGACATTTTCCCTTGCTCTGAATCGGCTAGCATAGAATCTACATTTTGCCATAACAATTGTTAAAAACAGTTCAATCATTCAACTTTACATTTTGAAAAATTAAAAAACTTTGGATCAAAGAATTGTGAATGCATATAACCTACTCAACCTGATGCAAATCAGTGCCGCGTTTCAACTAGGCAAATCTTGTTTCGCCATTCTTATTTATCTTTAATCATGTAAACGGGAATCTCTCCCCAACCAATTGTGCCATCAACCTGGATGGAGAAGGCATGGATATGGCCCCATGAACCACTTCATGCTCAACCCCAGGACGAAAATCACTCTCCCCCATCACAACCAACACCTCCATCCCAAGTTTCACCATTGTTGCCCCATGACGCCTAAATCGCAACCTCTCAACAGCTTCATCATTTGGAAAGAAACTGATTACCATCCACAGACCAAACCCCGAAGCTTCATTATTCTCTCGAACCCACAGCCACAGTTTTACACCTAGTTTATCTGACCAGGTCAATATCATCAAATTCATAAGCATTGTCACCGCAAACCCATCAGCCTCCGTTGGCACAAATGATGTTAATAAAAAAAAAAAATAATGTATCATATACTATAGTATAATTTATTTAAATATTATTTTGTAAATATAATATTTATTATAATAATCTATATATATATATTTATATGGTTTAATATCAAGAAAATAAAACTATAAAAGAACCTGATAAAGTCGAGACTAGAATTTAATTCTATAGCCTTAAGACAGATACGCCCCGCTACGGTGCTAACGGACTCTTCGACGTCTATCTCCCAGGATACAACGACTTTTCTTCCTTTGGTAGTAGCACTTCAAACCAATGGAATAGGCGAACCGGCTCGGTGTAGTACTCTCTGATGAACTCAGACTCGGAGACCAGGATTGAACCTAAACTTGGAAACCAAGGTTCGAACCCAATCCAAACCAGTTTAGGTTGAACCCAAACCAGTGGCTGAACCGAACAAAGAAGAATTAGAAGAAGAAATTCAGAAGAAGAGAAGAATATTTCTAAATTTGGTGTGAATTGAAATGAACCCAATGATGGGTATTTATAGGCTTGTTGGTGCCTATTCTGAATGGGTGCACCCATAGTCCGAATGGGTGCAACCATTGTTGACCAATCAGAATTAAAAAACTGTTGGTGGTTTTTAAATTGTAAAGGGTGCAACTCTTGGTTCAAAATTAATTCTGATCCAGCCCAGCCCTTTAATTTCGTCCAGTCCAGCAAGCAAATAATCCAACTCGGCCATTAATTCAGCCCAGTAAACAGGCCCATTTTGATAAGTCCAGCAACAAAATAAAATTACAACCACACAGGCCCATCCCAACTTTGGGTAAAAAGTTAAACCCATTTCACAATCAAGCCCCGCCCTAGCCCGGACCGGACCGGGTCGGGTCGGGCGGGCGGCGCGCGCGTGTGGTAGTTGGTTCGGATCCAGGCTAGCCTAGGTCCTCCCCCTCTTAAAAACTTGGGTGCCCTTGGGCCCAAACCCAAATCCCATACTAGACATATATATACTCAAGGTTGCTTTGCTACTTTTTCGATGTGGGACAAGCATTTCCCACTTTATTCACACCCATTTAGGCTTTATAAATCACTTACTTTGGAGCCAATTTCTCATTCACCCGGAAACGGATTTGAGAAAATAAATATACCACGTTCATCTCCTCGCAGAGAGGAACGCGCTCATCAATAGATTCGCAAAAAATTCTTAGCGGAATCTTTTTAATAATCCTTCCAAAGTTTGCGTTTTCTAATGCCGTTTCCAACAATCCCCCACATGAATGAAAATTTTCACAGATTACAAAAGGAGAAGATACAGACACTATAGAGAGTACTATTGGAAAGTTACTGCATCGGGATAGGTAGCTTTTGGCCTTGAACCTTCCCTAGTGTATTACTATCGGATTTACTAGCTAACCAGTGAACATTATGTCTTGAACTGTTCAGCCATTGATGTAAACCAAGACAATAGCAAACACACAATTCCTTCCCACACAAAGTCGGTTCTCACGGTTGTGTTCATATGGCCCTGAACAACGCCTGGTATTTCATGAGCGCTCCAGAAAACTTAGCCTTAGAAGTTCTCATAGAAGCGGCCCCACTTCACACTCATATAGGTGACTTCTTATTAAGAGTATCCTACCATACCCCACTTGAATTTTCAAGGTATAAGAGTCATTAAAAGCATAGCTTATCCTACTCATCGCTGTAGGTAACACTGTCTCATCATAGAAATGGGTAGAAGATTGAATCTTCCCAGTGCTTCTGGTGAGCCATTCAGAATTTGTGTTGTCCCTTTGAACCTAGATCTTGGGATCTCCAGTCAACTAGGTTGGGTTTCCATTAAGATGACTCGTTAGCTTTCGGCTTTAATCCCATTCCCCTCGATGAACTATATACTTGCTCTCTTGTCAAACCTTTTGTAAACGGATCCGCTAAATTATCTTTTGACCTGATATAATCTATTGAGATTATCCCACTTGAGAGCAATTGTCTAACGGTATTATGTCGTCGACGTATATGTCGAGACTTACCGTTGTACATATTACTTTGTGCCCTTCCAATTGCTGATTGACTATCACAATGTATACATATAGCGGGCACCGGTTTAGGCCAATTTGGAATATCTTCTAAGAAATTACGAAGCCACTCAGCTTCTTCACCTGCTTTATCCAAAGCAATAAATTCAGATTCCATAGTGGATCTGGCAATACAAGTTTGTTTTGAAGATTTCCAAGATATGGCACCTCCTCCAATAGTAAAGACATAGCCACTTGTGGATTTAGAATCCTTAGTATCTGATATCCAATTAGCATCACTGTATCCTTCAAGTACTGTTGGATATCTAGAATAATGTAATCCATAACTTATAGTATATTTTAAATACCTTAGAACCCTAATTATTGCAGTCCAATGGTTCTTTCCTGGATTACTAGTATATCTACTCAATTTATTAACTGAGTATGCTATGTCTGGGCGTGTGCAATTCGTCAAATACATTAAGCTTCCTATAATGCGAGAATACTCAAGTTGTGATATGCTAGGACCAGTATTTTTTGATAAATGAAGATTTACATCAACAGGAGTCTTTACAAGACTACTATCCCCTTTATTAAAATTTTCTAATATTTTCTCAATATAGTGAGATTGAGATAATACTAGACCATCTGATGTTCTAGAAATCTTAATTCCTAGTATGACATCTGTTATGCCTAAATCTTTCATATCAAAATTTTTGGTCAACATCTTTTTAGTAGTTTTGATTATAACATCATTACTACCCATTATTAGCATATCATCCACATATAGGCACACAATGACATATCCATTTTGAGTGTTTTTCACATACAAACATTTATCACACTCATTAATTTTAAAACCATTTGACAACATCACTTTGTCAAATTTTTCATGCCATTGTTTAGGTGCTTGTTTTAATCCATATAAGGATTTTACAAGTTTGCACACCTTCTTTTCTTTCCCTGGAACTATAAACCCTTCAGGTTGTTCCATATAGATTTCCTCCTCTAATTCACCATTTAAGAAGGCAGTCTTAACATCCATTTGATGTATTTCTAAGTTTGGCAGTGCTGCAATAGCTAGTAACAATCTAATGGATGTTATTCTTGTGACTGGTGAATATGTATCAAAATAATCCAGGCCTTCTTTTTGCCTATATCCCTTAGCAACAAGTCGGGCTTTATATTTTTCAATTGAACCATCAGGCTTCATCTTCCTCTTGAAAATCCACTTATACCCTAAAGGTTTAGTACCAGGAGGAAGATCCACCAGCTCATGATGGATTCAATTTCACTATTTATGGCTTCTTTCCATAAATTAGCTTCAGGAGAAGACATAGCTTCCTTGTAGCTTTGTAGCTCATTCTCCAATATATATGTCAGAAAGTCAGGACCGAATGACTTAGACGTTCTAGCTCTTTTGCTACGTCTAGGTTCTTCCTCATT